TCTCTGCTGCAGCCAAGAGTGGCGGTCTTGGGGGACTGGACCTTGCTGATTTCCTCAAGGGCACTGGCCAGAGAGTCTAGGTCCCCTGAGTCCTGGTGCTGGACTTCCCATAGGCTCAGAATCACTGATGATGGGCTCTCCTGACATGCAAAGTAGCACAGGTTCCTACAGGCCACAGGGAAAGGAAATATTATACTCGAGTAGAACACACGGCACAGAGTAATTGCTGAGAATGAGAAAAGATCAGCATCCTAACTTTGAGTTGCTAGAAAACTCCCAAACACTAGATCCTATATTTTCCACATTGCAACTCAATAGTGTCATTAATTAGACCTTTCCTGCCTTCCACAGGCTGAATAGTGGGATTTTCCTCTTAACGAGTAAACTGAATTTCATGTGTAAAAATGATGGAGTGCTCCTTTAAGCCCTCTCAATGTAGACCCATTTTAAATAGTATTTTATAGTATGTGGGTTACTGCCTTTCTTATATAAGGAAATATATTACTTTTTTTCAAATATGCCTGAATTCCAGTTTACAGAACTTTAAGAAATACTAATATCGCCAAAAGACTGAGTAATGTTTGTGATAAAAAACAACAAACCAAATAAAATCAATTGATCTGACCATTAGTCATTCAAAGATAAAGTAAGATGGTTTATAATCCAGTCTAAAACATTTAAGTACAACTTTCTAAATAAAAGAACAAACTTCCTAAGGTTATGTTTGGGTTCAAAGTACAAAAAGACAAAACTTCAAGCTAAATTCATCCATCCATCCATCCTCAGACTTTAAATAACCTAGACTGAAACTTAAATGATGCTAGAATAAGATAGAATAACAAAATAAAGTCCAGCCTCTCAAAGATTGTCTTCAACGATTAACAATAGCTTGGGTGCAGAACAATTCAGTTCCAGTTTGGAGTATAAAAAAAAACAAGCTCCACTCAAGATTTGATTTACACTGATTTTCCTTCTCTGCTGTTGTTATATCAAACATATCCAACAGAGTGCACTGTTTCTTAACAATGGAATTTCCTTTCCTCCTCCTCTCTTTTCCTTTCCATCCCACTTTCCCTCCTTGGTATGATGCTGTTCCCACACATTCAGAGAAATAATTACAAAAATCAGCTTAACTAGGTAGAGACATTCCCATTACATGCTTCTTGGTGTGTTCGACTGGGCTGAAAAAACTCTGAAATCCTTTCCCATTCCTCAGTCACAGATGTTTGTTTTCAGACTCGGTTTAAGTGAAATTCCTTAATCACATATTTTCTGTCACACTTTCTTAGTTAACTTTTCCTTCTCATGTTTCTCCAACTGGCAAGAAAGAGAGAATACTCAGTTTCAGTACATTTTTCCCACTTGAGCTTGATGGAGCTGACTGCACAGATCTGAGAGTCTTCATAGCTATAAGCACTTGATTATTGACTTCTCTTCTGTAGCACAAATAGAGATCAGCCTGTACTAAACAACTAAAATCCTCCACAGCCTACGCAAATACTGACCTGGCACAATCTCTGGAGAGTTTAGCAGGCGTTGAGGGATAGAACAAATGCAGAGATGCTGCTAATGAAGAGTGCTAACACATTTTTTTTTTGCCAGAGGCTGGCCTGTCAGCGGTCTGAGACCTTGCTTCAGATTTCTGCAAAACATGGCATCTTCTTTCCAGTTATAAAGTTGGCCCTTACATCTCTCTCTCTCTCTCTCTCTCTCTCTCTGCAAGTATTTCTCGATCTATAATGAAATCAGCAGTGTGGCGTGTTACTGAAGGCTGGTTGGTGATGGGAGATTAGGGCTGACACGGTGCCTAAATTCCAGATTAAAAATAGTATTCAAAGCAGGACAAGGTTTACATAGTAGAAGGACCACAACATTCACCGTTTCTGCTTTTGAGTCATTATTCTTTAATGACACCTGAACAAAACACAGCATCTGATTCATATATCTGAGCTTGTGTAACACATAGATGACTCAACAATAGGTAAATGGCAACTGCATATAATAAAGAGTGAAGATGAAATGTGGGTTTCAGAGGGCTATAACTCATACCTGTCAATGTGGAGCTTTTGAGCCAAGAGCTGCCAGTCCTTCCCCCTGGCATTAGCGGTGTCAAAGGTGGCGCTGATCCGCTGACGGATGGACAGTGGGATTTTAAAGGCCCTTGACCCTGTCTGAGAGGTGATGGTACAGTCTGACTGAGTGAAAAAAGGAACCACTCCCTTTTCATTCTGGTAGCAAGACAAAAAGAAGAAGTGTAATGGTGATACTGCAGCTAAAATTCGCAATATGAAGACAAGGACAAGGACTTATCAAGACAATTTGCAATCTATACATGAAAAGCTCCCAGAGAGGCTCATTAAGCAAGCCCTTAAATCAAATCAAGAGTTATTCAGTGTAATAAAAGAACCTATTAACACACCGCATGACTGCCCACGCACCAAGCACATTCTGTCTCTTTCTACGAGCGCTACTCACCTCCACCACAGACGTATAGACCTGTAGTATCTGCTCCTCGCCTTTGACCTGTCGGACGCTGATCTTGCAGGACAGCTGAGACGAGGAGTGGCTGTATCGCTCCAAAGAGAAGGCACACTGCAGGGGACGCTGGTTACTGGCCCACACCTGAGAAAAGGAGAACTCCTGCAGAGCGAAGAGACAGAGGGCGGACAGAGAGAACGATGAAAGGATTAGACAGAGGAGACAACAAACTCATTAAATCCCTGCGAGAGACGTTCGTTATTTGAATCCTGCTTTGCCACCCACTTTGCTGTTTACATGATTAATTAAGACCGAATGAGTGGCCTCTTCAGCCAATCAATGATATTACCTAATCAAGAAGTTTAGTCAGAAAGAACACGAACATTGAGAGCCCTTGGAAAGAATCCTGTTAACATCTGAAAGTGCTGGAGTCATTAGTGCAAAAATATAATAAATTAGACATTAGGTTACTTACTGTTGCCTGGGAGAAATAATTAAGTTACTTTACCCTACAGTGTGGCTAGTCTCACATGCAATCATTAGGTCGATAAACATTACAGACCTAAGCCCAGTTAATTTTTTGTAAACGTACAGCCCACAGCATTCATTTCAGACTCCAACTATATTCAACACTTTGTTGGCTTGTTGTGTTTTCCAAATTCTGATATTCCTAATATGCCTTGAATAGGCTTGTAAATGTCAATCTGTTAGATTGGGAACAGTAATGTGATTATGGAAATAGGACAGAGATGCCTTAATTTACCCAGTGTGTACTGCACTTCCCCAAAAATTGGCAGCGGAAAAACAAAAAGTAACAGGGCTTTGGAGTGAATGGAATCTAAAAGGGCAATTTCGACTTCCATTACTAACTACTGTGTGACCTAGACAGTGGCGCAGTGAGAACAGGTCAAAAACACTGTTTTACGATGAATCATCCCCTCTTCAGATCCATCAGCCAGGAAGATGACTACTTGTAAAAGCCTCCTTTAGGCAAGAGTAGTGTCTAAATGAAAGCCTACAGTCATCTTCCCTGTAGGACCCTCATAAAGTTGCTCTTTCCTCTTCAAGAAAACCTTGTTGGTATTCTGGAGGTACTATGGTGGGCTAATTCCGCTAATAGGATGTCACTGGTGGGATAAACATCACAGGGCAGAGCAGAACATGCAGTATAGACCCCTAGGAAGATAACTGAGATGTGAGTGTGTATGTGTGTGCCTGCCTGGCAGTCATAATTAATATTGCGAGTGTGTGTGTGTGGGAGAGATAGCTAGCCTTAGTGATCTCCTGCTGTGCCCTTGCTGCTGTCCTTTGGCTTTGATGTGACCAAATGAGAAAAAGGGAAACTGTAAAGGAGAGAGTTCTAATGGAGGAACAGAGGAAGCTGAGAAAATGAAGGTGCAGAGCTTATTTCCAGATTAGTGACCCCGATAAAGCGGATTTTGGTTTAAATTAGAACTGAGATGCACATACAGTAAACCCGATTGCTGCTTTACACTAGCTGACACAAACTCGAGGTTATAAGCTGCCTACCTGGCAGGTGGTGAAAGGCTTGATGCTCCAGAGTAGCTGTGGGACGTCCTGGATGGACACCTGGAGGCTGAAAGTGTTCCCCCGGAACAGCATCATTTTAGGCTCTTCCAGCAGCTGCCCGCCCCTGCTGCGCTCGCCCACTGCCACCTCCTGATAAGGGAAGGTGTGGGTTGTTTTTTGAGGGGGTGGGGCGAGGGTTAGGGAAGTAGAAAAAAAAAGTAGATATTTTATATGGTGGACAGGCTCAGCGTACCAAGCCAGGACTCAGATGCAGCACACAGCTTTTTATGTACAACAAAATCTTTCTGTTGATTGATAATTCATAAGCATTTATATTAAACCTTTATCCTCACACAGTCACATATGAACCTCCTTGTCATGGTTTATCTGTGTTAAAGAGTTAAACAATCTGAAAGATTTAGTTTATTTCTCAATTACTAATTTCTTAATTGAGACAGTATTAATTGTTAATGAAAATAATCATTAATGGCAGCCCAACTTTTGCAAGTTCATTGGCTGTGTATGAACCACACCATTTCCTAAAACGTTTTTGTCACAGAAAGAAATGTAAAAACCATCACAAACACAAACTAATAAAGTTTTTAGTAAATGTTTGGTTGAGTTGGAAGCCTCGACTTTTATCTGTCGGTGCTCTTTGCACATTTGAAGAAACACTGTGACCATGAGGTAAAAAAAAAAATCAACTCAATGAAAAATAAAAGCAGAGTGCACTCTGCATTTTCAAGCTTTCATCCAGAGCGATTGGCCCCTAAAACACAAAATGCTTCAAAACGACAGACTGCATGAGTCGAGAGCCTAAAAATATGGTAAAGAGAGCAGCCTGAACTGTTAGCCAAGCATATTGGTTGTACACAAAGACGAAACATAAACAGAGAAAAAAATCAAGTCTTTTGTCAATATTATACTTTTTGGCTTCCTGCTTTGTGATATTGTAATTTTTCCCGATCTATGGAGAACAATAACATCTGTGTGCATGTGTTAGTATGTACTTGCATGTTTATGTTTACATTTTATGTATCTTGGGAATGCAGGAAGGGGCAGGGGTGCGAGCCCTGTGTGCGTGGTGCTTATCTTCTCAGTCGAACAGCGCAGAGAGATGGAAAGCATACAGGCTGTCTTGAACCTGATCAATTCCTGCTTCGAGCTCACTGGGGAAATTAATTGTCGTATGAAGCACAAACAAAAAGCTGACAAAAAGAGAACAAATGAACAAATAACCATGTCTGACTGATGGAGGGGTGGAGTGAATTGGCTCTTGGCACCTGTGTTCAATTTCTGTTTGTTCACATGCAATTCTATCTCTCAAACGAAGCCAAAAAAGTGAAGAAAGTTTAGTGGCTGTACGGGGACAACTATCAATGCTACTTCAGAAGAGCTGTATGAGTTTAATTAAGAAACAAATTATGCTTCTAAAAAGTATTTTTTGGCTGCAAAACGCTGAAACAAAAAGGTGTGTTTGTGTTTTTGAAAGCCCACACTGCAAGGACAAGGGCAAACTTGTTTTTAACAAAGAACCACTCAAGAGAACAATGATGAACCGGCGCTGCATCTGAGAATGTGTCTTATTTTAACATGTTCAAATACCTGTCATGTGGAATGCAATGCGGAAACACATTTAATTAACAGTGAGCAAATTAAATTACGCAAAGAAAGGGCAGAGAAGCAACCTTGGAGCATCTGTTGTCTTTGTAATTAAAAGTCCCTCTTTGTCTCCTAGTCATCAAGCATCTCCCAGTGGCAATGTTACAGAACAGGCAGATCTTCAGTGGAGCACAAAAAAACTCAGACAGCAATTCTTCCAGGCAAAACCACCAGCCGCGCCACCAAATCCCGGCAATTAAAATTTCTAATATCATGTATTTATATCGTATTGTATATTCCTGCTGCGTTGGAGGCTCTTTGGATGGCAATGTTAGCCCGTCGGCCGCTCAGCTGGTCTGTCCACCACTTTACGCCAGACTTAAGTATCTCAACAACTATTGAAAAGATTGCCGTGCATTTTTTGCATTATGACTGCTGGTCCTCTGACTTTCCCTCTAGTGCCACCATGACATTGACATTTGTGGTTGAGGATGAGGGAAATGTCAGGACAACTATCGAATGGATAGCCATGAAATTTGGTGCAGACATTCATGTTCAGCTCAGCGTGAATTATAATAACACTGATGACTTTTAATCTAGCACCATCATCAGTTCTTTTTTACATTTGACTTAATACAATAACTTGGCTTTTGACCAAATTCCCACACAATTAATGACATTCCAATCAGCCTCAGCTTTGCTTTGTTTTTAGTGCTAACTAGCAAATCAGGTGGCTGTGGCTCAGAAGGTAGAGCGGTTCATCCACTAATCAGAAGGTTGGCGGTTCGATCTCCCACTCCTCCCTCTGCGTGCTGAAGTGTCCTTTGGCAAGACACTGAACCCCAAATTGTGTGCATTGTATGAGTGAATGGGATTCATTAGTTTCTGATGAGACTTTTAGCATTGTCATTGCAAGCATTTTAGCATGCTGACATTAGTATTTAGCTTAAAGTACAACCATGTCTACGAGCAGCCTTTCAGAGCCAGGACAAACAAAGTTGGAATTTTCTTTTTTTTTTTCTTTCTTACAGAAAACTTTTTTTGTTTTCTCCTGTGCAAACGACAGTATGTTTTTGTGATCTATCATAACCTTCCTCTGTGGCTCTTCTTGAGTTTTTCCTTAACCAAATAAAGTGAGATTAGAGTGTGTTGTATGCTGTACAGATTGTAAAGCCCCATGAGACAAATCGTGATTTGTGATTTTGGGCTGTAAAGAAATGTACACAGGTTGGAGTAAAAGTTTTTACATTTTGACAAGACAATTCAGTTATAAGCAAATGATGCAATGAGATATTGCACTGAATCATCCTTGGTTCTTCATTTATTCCTTCTATACCCTCCATCTTCCTTCATACCTGAAATGCATGGGGCGTGTCGTCCACACAGTAGACCCTGAGGGTGAAGCCCAGAGAATTGCTGGTATCCGGACTACCAAACACAGCCAGTCTCAGCCGCTTGGCTGCCTCCTGGCTCAGGGGCTCCCCCACCAGGGCGTAGCGACCCGGATGCTTCAGCAGGACATGGCACCTCTGGGCCTCCAGCAGACAGTAGCAGGATGTGCTCTCCTCGTCCACTGACATTACTTCCTTTGGTGGGAGGACATATCAGGAGAGACCAGATTTAGTTCTGGTGCATTAAGCACATATTCTGAGCCATTAATAGTTCATTTTAGGGTTAATCATGAGAACAACTCTACATCGGAATGCTGTCTTGCTGATGATTTTTGATTTTTGTTTTTGAGGATTCAGCACCCGGCTTTACACAGTGGAGCTGAGCATGCTGATTATTAACATTTCAATTACTGCCAAAAATTCATTTGAAGAGGGAGGAAGAGGCTTTAACCTACCCCTTCAAACTGAAAGCTGAAAACCATTTGGCCTGTGTTATGTGAGTAATACTACTTTATCATTCTATCTATTATTTATTAGCTTAATACCTGCAGAAAAATAGACAGAAAGAAAATAAATGGCAAAGCAGTTACATAACAAGCCATCAGCGGCATAACTCCAGACCACAAGACCACCAAGACGTAACTTCATTGTTAATAAGTATATAATTAAGACACCTAAAAATGGAAAATTTCCCTCTCACACAGACTCAGGATCAGGAACTGTGCAAACCTGAACGAGGGCCAAATGAATAATCACACATCTCACTAAACAGATGGGAATACAGTAACACTGACAAAACGGATTAGCAGGGTGCACTTGTATCCTATGGCCAATTGCTCATCATCTTGTGCTCAATCCACCCTAAATCACCTTTGAAACATAACTGTGACCCACAGGTCCCCTCTGGATATGGCCCGGCTGAGGCATATAAAGCAATGCAGGGTAATTTAGTGGCCCACAGATTCCTAAACCTGCCCCATTAGTGCTGCAGCAGACATGAAGGATCTCCATGACATAGCTCATCCCTGCCAGGCATCCGGGGAGAAATGAGGGAGTCAAACTCCAGCAGTACAAAAGTGCAAGCTTTAATGGGAATGGCACTGAGAGGCAGACGGAGCGAGAGAGAAGGGAAGAGAGGAAGACAGAAGGGGAGAAAGACCTCCATCTCCCATTATATTGCTAATTCCAGAGATTAGGTTTTGAGAGAGCATCCTTCCTAAGATAAAGGGCTCATTATTTCACATTGACAGAGACGGGTCATGGCGTTACATTTTCTTGGAGAACATCTCCCCCTCTGTCTCTGAACCTGTCTATGTCTTTCTGTCTGTCTCTTCCTTCTCCACTGACTCTCTCCCTTATTCTCTGCTTTCGGATGGCATATAGCTCCCATCAGTGATGGCTCTTTTGATAGGTCCCTTTTGTGCAACACGGCTGCTGGCAAATTACATCTGTGTAAATGTCACACAGAGTGAAAGGACCAGGCCAGGAGAGAGCCACAGGCGCTCCAAGGTCACGCAAACTCGGTGGCTTCGGGGTCACTTTGCCTCAATGAGGTCCCCAAAGCTTTTTGATGAGGTTAGTTAAACATTAAAAGAGCATCTTAGATTTGACTACACTGCGGAGAAGGCATGGGAAAATGGATAGAGGGTGTTTGGATTGAAGTCAGATGTCTGAACAAGTCTCTGTGAAACTGTGAAGTAGCTCTACAGGGCAGAGTTGAAGGACATTTCAGAGGTGTTATTTTACTGAAAGAGCTTGATGTGAGAAGAAGGTCTCACGGCAGCAATCACAGAGACAGCACTATACTGTATTTATAGCAATAAAGTCTTAAATCTTTTAAAAAGCACATGTGGCAGTTTTTATCCGTTTTTAACCTCACACTGAGGTATCAGACTGGGCTGGGGACATTAACCTCGTAGCAGTTTTTTATTAAATGTTAATTCTGTTGAAATTTCATTTTAACTAAAAAGCTAGTTCAGGGACATCTTTTTAACTAGAACTTTCTTCTGTTAAAGCTATTTTATGACTCTTATGTTCTTGTGGATGAATTACCTTGTTTTAGTCATTATACGGTATGTCACTGTGTTTTATATCTGGCTACAACTCATTCACTATTGCATCACTGTGGTGATTTCCCAAATGGTTATTTGATTAACATAATTATGTTAAAATAGCTGAATGGATACTATTTTCTGCAATTCATATAAATCCAAATCCAGGGTTTAAATATTCAATTCACTTGCAGTCATAGTGGTCCCAGTATAATAATCAAGATGATACATAGCCTTTCATGCCTTTATCTACACTTATTAAACTTATATGTGCAAACCTTCCTGTTGCAACACAGTTGTACCTTGCATAATTACAGTAGTTGAAGTACATTTCTACATTTCAGATACAGTTTTGCCATATAATAAATAACAAACAGAAACCATGCACAGTATGTACAAAGATAATTGTGTTTTGTAATGTAAATTGTGCTTGTTGTGTTCAAATTTTATGAACAACTGCAATGCAGAGCTCACAGATACATGACAGAGTGATGCTTTAAAATACCATTATCATTAAACTGGAAAAGAAATGAATGTTTTACTGACTAATAGCCATCATTTGCATTTGGTCTGACATTTCTTTTGGATGTATGACAGCATGAGGTAGAGCTTGAAAGGCAGAATTTTATGCAGAATGACGAATCTGAGCTGGCAACCCTGAAATCGGCTCTGTGCTTGCATGACTACACTGCAGGATGAAAATTTTCATCAAAGTAAGTTGTAGCAGTTTTATCAGTTCGTATTGATATTCTGGATGCTGGGTAAAGTTGTGTGTTTGCACTTGTTAACATTCATTCATTGATATTACAGCAGATAATTTGGATCTGATAATTACAGCTGAAAATTAATAGAAATGGCTCACCTCCCATTTGTTGTCCTGCGTTTGTCTCTTTAGCCGAATGGTCCAATCATCAGCAGCAACCTCTGCACAATGGGCTATGGTCATGGCTATGGGACAGGACAGGTCAAGGCCTGGTGGGCCATACGTGACTGCAGGACTCAAAAAGATCTCTGTCCCTTCCTCAGACACAGTGCTGTACACATAGAGGTATGATAAGGGCACATATTAAAACAACAAATCTCATCATATCGCAAACATTTAGGATAAAATTAGTCAGAGTTTTAAGACAGCAAATGAAGACATGAACATCACTACTGATTAATCGCTGCTTAAACAAGTATTCAGATAGTATAGAGTGACCCTATGCCTATGAACAAAGTGAACTCAAATCCTTGGACACTTATAATGAATCAATCCCTGACTAGCTGACACACAGACACACAGATAGAGGAAGATTAAAGCACCAAGACTAATGGACAGTGGGTCTAGGGAGGACAGGCTTTAGCACACAGCGTGTAAGCTTTGTGGGTCGATGGAGCTTATGAAGCCTGCTCTGGCCAGCCTGGTGACAGATTAGCTGGGCCAAGCTGCTCTTGGCCAGGGGCCCAATCTTGGCTAGAAGCCCTGAAGACTGAGAGCAATCAATGGGACCACCATCAGTCATGCAGTTGGCCTGGCTGGACACCTCACATATACAGGACACAATATTGGTGCTGTTGTCACTGGAGCAGCGTAGATATTTCTCAGCATCATTAATACAACTGCAGCAGGGACAAACCCCTGACATGCAGGCACAGATGCATCACAAATGTGTAAAGTGTACATGGCCCACACATGTGCATAGAAATAAAGGAAGCACCAACTGAGAGAGACTGAGTTAGACAGTCAAGTATCATTTGTATAGGTTGCACTTTATAAACACACATAAACACTGTACCACATGCCTCCATATATAACCAAGTCAAAAGCTTTGTCTCAGTTCCATACTACAGACTAATTGTATACAGATTTTTAGTATGCAATGTGTTCATACTGGTGTATTCACAACAGTAAGTATCAACAAAATCAGTATGCATATTAAATACACCTGATTATTGTGTGTGATGTACACTAATTGTCCCAGAGAGAGGATAGTGATGAGACAGGTCCAACATATTATTATTATCTACAATAATAAACAAAAAGTATTACATCTCTAAAAAGGCATCTTTTCTCTTTACGGTTAACAGATTTCAATTAACGCCTGGATTGCATTAATTCTTGTTAATTATTTTCCCAATAAATTGTTGAAATTAACTGGGAATTAATCAATTTTCCATCACTAATTTCTAGAATCAAAGATGACATCTACAGATGTCTTATTTTGTCCGACCAGAAATCCAAAACCCAAATATATTCAGTTTACAGCGAAAGCATAGTAACAAATCCTCACATTTAAGAAGCTGGAACCAACAAATGATTAGCATTTTTACTTGAAAAATTACTGAAACAATTAATCAATTATCTAAGTAGTTGACAATTTTCTTTTGACTGACTAATTAATTCATCAACAATTTTGAGCTCAGATAATTAACGTATTACATCATGTTTAATAGTAACATGCAGCATTGAATTGGGACCCAGCTACTGGTAGCTACTTAAGTAGAAACACTGTTATTTTTGAAATCTTCAAATTATGAAACAGCACATCTACTTGAGCAGGATTTTCTAGTAGTTTCCACTCCTGCAACAATTACCTGCAAGATGCATGAGAAGTGTTTTATATATGAGATGGGGGTGGGAAGGTGAGGTGTGATGTATGAGTGTGTGTGTGCTGAGATGATAGCATTCCCACTGTTTGGCTCCTGTTATTTTAACAGCTTCTGGTGCCGTGTGCTGTGTGAAACTTTATTCTTCATAATGCTGTTACCAATCAACACTAAAAAATTAAAAGAGGTTATGATCTGCTGTCTAAAAATAAAATCATACATCCAGACAGCACCGTGGCCCTGCAGCTGCACTTTTGTGCTAATCAGCCCCAGGCTCAGAGGAAACCAAGGTTACCTGCTGCTGAGACTATGGTAATTACCCAGATTGCCTGTGAGCAAAGATTAAAGATGGTTATTTAGCATCTCCGATCGTGGTTACCAGAACAAAGAGATATCACTATAGGATGATGGTTAAAGTGTAGATAGTATATTGAGTTTATTAGTAAAGTCTGGGCTCATATGTGCAGTGCACACAACACACCTCCTTCGCTTTTTCAAACAATAGACGTGACGTTCATTTTTTCCTCTGACCACAGTCATACATAACATTTTGACAATGCCTCATTAGTGTTTGACAGTCTGTCTTTCAAGCTTTCACAGAAATATGGAGTCAGAGTTGAACAAAATTAGGGCCATAAAACTGAGCTTTAGAGTTGAAATTTTATAACCAAGTTCATTTTTTTCCATTGAAGGGTCAGTTCACTCAATTAAACAAACACGTATCTAAATTCATCTTGGTATGATCCACAGAACACAATCTGAACAGCTTTGGTGCTGTTGACATTCCTTTAATTTATTACCAACTTGTGAAATGTTAATACTCAACATCCCCGGACTATCAATAGCTACTGTTAGAATTTTATGCTAGGCAGGTAGCCAAATAAAAAAAAAGCAACATCACTTGAGGCAATTTATCAGATTTTGCACAGCTCCCTCTGGAGCCAAAAAAGGCTCTACACAACTTTTTCCACGTATGCAGTAGTACTCCCCAAGATCTGTATACAGACTTTTATGTGTAAAATAATGTGAGTTGGCCTTTAATATTTCACTCAACATTAGTTAATGAAATATGTTTTCCAACTTTAGCTACTTAAAGCTGCTCTAATCAATAATTTGATGCGAACAATGGGTCCAGTGACTATTGTTTAATGATAAAAGCGTTGCTTGTAGTGAGATAATTATCACCTGACTCTGCAGTTACCCTTAACTCCAAGGAGCAATTAGGTGTCTTTTAATTCATTGTTTGGATTTCACTTCCAAACACTTGTTCACTTTCACCGCTTTCATCACTGTGTTTTTTGGCAGCAGAAGGCAGCTGTTCTCAGGGAAAAAGCTCTTACTGTACACTACCTACCAAACAGCAGACAAAGTGACTAGCTGGGGAACATAGCGGAGCCTTCTGCAGCTAAAGATATTTCCCCTAGGAGCTAGTGGAGATAAACATTTCTTAAGTGACCAGTGATGTCTGCTGGATGTGTAAATAGCCAGCTGTTTGCTTACACATTATAGTCACAGCCACTGTATAAGGTGATGATAAGTCAGTGCTTGTACAGCTTATTGCACTCCCTCCATGCAGCCAAAAATGTATTTAGGCAGGTTTAATTAGACAATATCTGGGTTCAAGAGGCTTAGTAAAGTAAAGTAACTCAGTGGATACTGAGACTGATACACAAGACAACAACCAACATTTTAAAAGGAAGTGTGACTGACTTTGTTGAGTAATAGGTGTCTCCCTGCAAAGTGTGCTCAAAACTAAGGATGGTACTGCTCAACTCAATGACTCAAACTTCTGTGAGTCACATTATACCAGGTATACTTTGTTACACACTATAATTCTACCCTTGGACTAACCACTGACCCCTGCTGAGCTGGAGAAGACCACACACACACAAAAAAAACACCCTGTTAAAGCCCAGAGGATGAACGGAAAGCTCTTGCGAACACCTGAAACTGAGCCAGAGCTGATCGATTCCTTTTCTTCGCAGAGGACAGTGTCGTCTTATGTAGATGGCCAAGGTTTGAATGGGAAGAAAGGATCCAATTTCTCCCGTGGACTCTGCGGCTGTCAGAAGATAGGCGTTGACTGACAGCTCAGTGGTGCACGGCTCCTGCAGCTTCTTAAACGACAGCCAGAGAAGTAAACAGCATCAGGCTTATCAGAGCAAAGCAGGAGCCTGGAGGGCAGCAGCTTGGCTGAATTGGGTAGACTTTAGGCAGGGGAGGGTATAACCAGCCCCCTAACTGAGCTCTGAGCCACAACCTATAAGTGACCTTTGATCTGTATCTTTACCCAGATGACGCTAGGCACTTAATGGGTGGGGGGAGGTGACATGACAGGTGAATTTCAGATGGCACTAAATGTCACTTTTGATTCTCCCTTGGATGTAGGAATCAAATTTCATTGAGAAGCGCAGCCGGTTAGCCGTGTTGTTAAGGTGATATCTCGCTAGCAGAGTTTCTCACAGACCTGCTGACACATTGATACTGTGCTATAAATCAAGAACATGTCCAAAAACTGACTTCTGGTTGTCAGATAGCTTTTGAGGCTCTGTTGCAAAGAACTCAAAGGTATTAGACTCCTTTTCAAATGGTTCTTATCTATCACCATTTTCTCCTAAGTAATAGCTTTGTGAAAATCTCAACAGCGAAGTTAAAGAAATAGACGAAATAGACGTTCCGCCGAACTAAAAACCAAATCAATATCACCCATCATCATGTCTTAACAATCTTCTCCACTCTAACCAGTCATGATGGGAAGAGATATTGTCACAGTTATGTCTACTAACACAAAACCGGCAACCAGAGTCGTGGAGTGCATCTTTCTCTGCTGAGACAGTTGCTTAAGGCAGTAATACAATCTGTCTACAGCTGCCAATGTATTCGTGACACATATGTCCTCCCCTGTAGTGTCTGCAAGATGAGCAAGGATCTCATGCTGGGCAGAAATATGGCTGCATCTGTACTGTATGTGTGTATGTGTACAGTACGTGAGGATCAGTGTGTATCTGTGCAGGTTTGTGGTGCATGTTTGGCCAACTGAGAAAGAGGTGGCAGGGAGAGCGATGAGAGATGCTGTGTGATGGGTTGAAAGATTAAAAAAGAGCAGGCTGAGAAGCAGACTGCACCGTCTCAGTAAGAGTCCCTCACCTGCTGTCCTCCTGGTTGATGATCATGTACATTTCCCAGGTAGTGTCTTCTGCGATTCCCCCATGAGGCACCAGCAGACTGATACCTGCAGAGAAGGAGGTATGCAAAAACTGATCAAAACACAGCCTGACATGCACACATGACACACACACACCTGCCCGGCTGTCAGGTCTCTTTACTAAAGGTGACAGCCAGAGAGGTGATGGCCCCAATGCTGCCAGCAGTCTTTTTGTCACAAACACACACACACACACACACACACAGACTGTCTCTTTAGAGAGAATCACACATACACATACATCTACTGTATCATAAACAATTACTGCCAATCTACACTGCAGTAGATAAAGCCCCTCAAGGGACATGATGATGAATGTAGGCCACGGGAAAGAGCTGCCTGTATAATGTGCTAGACAGAGCATTACAGGTTTACATTACATTAACATTTTCTTCATAGTGTACTGTAAAATGTTATCACTTTAATTCATAATGCTTTTTGAATTCATGTATTTTGTGAAACCCTAAAAATTCTGTATTTACTTTACTGTAAAACTTTCCATAGGCTGACAAATGTTGAAAAGGTTTGTCAGGACGCACCGGTCGACTAAAAATGCCAATGCTGTCTAACTTCATCACTTCAGTAAATAATATATTCATATTCGTGTTACTTGGTCTGCAGCAAAGATGTGGAAATGTCATCGATCGACCAACACTGACAAGGTCAAACAACTTCAAAATTCAATACTAGAAGCCCTGGAACACCTTTGCTGTTGTTTTAAAGTGCGTTAAGTTACAGATTTCAGCTTCTCTGATTTTTATGTTAAAGGAATTTCAGTTTACACACAGGGACGGATCGAATGAAATTTCCCCGCAGTGGGCTCACCTGTGCTAGGGACCACCAGCCTCCCTCCAGCATGACCAAAAACTGCAGTTGCTTTGTGGAGAGGTCTGCTGGAAGTCAAAGTGACTTGTGGAGTGAAGAGGTTTTTGCCTCTCCTGCCCAGCGTTGTCCCCACTGCAACCCCTCTGTAGTCTGGAGCCAGGCCCCTTGGAAATGTCTGAGGGTGCGACATTACATGGTACTCTGCCCTCTCTGCCACCCCTAGAGACACAATGAAAGGACTCTGTTGCAGTAAAACAAACTCAGATCATCAGCCAAGAGAAAAGACAGGACTATGGTATGACTGTAAACTCGAACTTTTCAAATCCAATACCAACTAAAAGTTAAATACAGTATGGTATCCAATCATAGCTCAGCAAGCGTAACTAGGCTCAGCAAGCCTGTCAAGCTTTGGATTTCTCCTCAAGCTGAGGCAGCATTCAGAGGGATGTAGTAAGAGCGATTCCCTGCATTTAAAGAGGTTGAAAGGTGGTGTCTTTTATTTAGCCTTTCCAAACCTCAAAACACAAGAGCAGAAGTGTGAGGAATGGATTAATGGTTTATCTGTTTATCTAGCTCACTACTTAAGAGTGGAAACTGAGTCTCACTTTCAAGGCCATGGAGCATATATCGATATCATTAACTAACTACATTAGTTTGTGGGTTTACAGATGACATAAAAAAAAGGGAGAAAAAGAGAAAATATTGAGTCTGATTTTACTTTTTTTCACACACTCATTGGACTAACTAGCTCTACACTGTAAAAGATGAAAAATGACAGTCAGTATCAACGTTTTCCATGCACATGATGCTTAAGCCTCAGTCTTTCAGCACAATATCATGTGTGTTATAACAATCAAACATATTTAAAACCTCTTTTACAGATTTCTTCACATTAAAAAGTCAGCTGCAGACAGCATTTTCAACCAGCTCATGGAACTAAAGCCAGCTAAATGATCTATTTTGCGATAGCTGACAAAATCTACACTAATGTAGAGTGGCTAATCTGCTGATATCACTCTGACCTGCATATATGCTGTGCAAGAACGGACAGCTTGACAGGCACCACAACAGAACTAAGGGGGACGTGGCTAAGCGAACGGTCAATTTGTGATTTCCTCCAAGGTGATGGCCATGACAGCTTTCTTAGAGATTGACTTGTGATAAAAAAAACTGGTTCAAAACAGGATGGAGTATCCATCTGACAGCAACAGCACACTATATTCTACTCTGTAATTATTGCCTTTCCAAAAGTAGTTGACTACCACAGACATAGGCTTTTAAAACAGTTCTATTTTCTGACCTTTGACTTTGAGATCAGGCAGTGGGTCAAGGAGTGAGCGCTCGGCCATCAGCTCCTTGTCAATGGAGTCCTGAAAACACATGGGGCTGGTGTAGGTACGCGACACTGTCAGATCAGGTTGCATGGATGAATTAATAAGCAGGGGGTTTGCTGAAAAAAACAAGAAGAGAAGAAAAAAAGCAAATTACTGTCAACAATTAGACATCTTTAAGCAACAATTATATCTCAGGAGAGATTTAAATTAGACTGCCATGATCAACAACAATAAAAACCAAAAGGGTATGTCACGACAATTTGTTGTTATCCACCTGTGACTATTGCAATAATATCATCACCATGGAAACAGGAAAGGCATACAGTACCAGTGTTTAAATTTAAAGTGACAAACGGCAAATAACAAAGGCTGTGTTGTAATATGCTTTAATTTGATGTAATAGTGGTTAAAAAAACAATTCTGTGACAATAACTGGAAATATTGCCATTTAATTATATTATAGATTTATAATAATAAGAGTTTATTATATTAATATTGACATTTTTATATACATTTCCAACTTCAGGCAGTTGCAGGCAGAGGTACGGGTGAGGCTGTAGCTACAGTCAGTGATGCACTCAATCAATCTCATAGTGTAGCCATGTGTATTTGCATTGTACTGGAATTAGAAACTCACAGAAGTGTGGATCAATCAAGAAACACAGAAAGGTTATTGTATACAAGATAAATCTGTTTATTGTAAGGTGAAATCATTTTGTGATAAATGACGCGGTTTGTCTTAATGAGCAAAAAAATGTACGTTGGCAGTTTATTCTGTTTGGGAATTTGGCAAGCTGTTGTCACTGTGACTCATGATCAAGGACTGCAAAAAGAAGTGGAATGGAATGATTACTGTGTAACTACTGTAGCAATGTACAGCAGGCAGCAACATATAAGGAGGGGAGGATATGTTGGATTTTATGGAGGTTTGGCTGTTTTAGCCCCCCTATCAAGTGGAACAGGGACCAAGATTAAAGCAGTCCCTGCCTCCTGCTGTGTTATCAAAATGAACTTTATTATACCCTGCTGAGAGCTGTTGCTGTGGCGACCCATAATGCCAGCCTTGTAAAAATATGCCTCAATCTGTGGGGCAAAACACACCACGCTTCTGAGCTGTGATGTTTCTGTGGTTAGAGACATGGGACTATAAATGCTCCATTCGGGAGCTTGGTGAAAAAAAATGAAAACACTAATAAATTACATTTAAATTTTGGAATCATGAATAATTAACTGAAGTTTTGTTATATGCAACATAAAAACAAAACCGCAGATAATGCCACAAACTCTCTACCCTGATGAGGTACTTCAACATTTTGCTTAAGTTATGGCACTTAAGACGGTCTAAGTAATAATAGATTGAAACATTAAAATTGTTTACAACAGAAAATGTGCTTGTTACCACAAGTTTTCAGTGAACGTTTATTGCCTTGGGCATACTGATGTTTGCAATAAAGCAATAAATGCTTGGTGTGCTGTATAGATTAAACTTTATACTGTATGTTATTGGACATTAACTGCACTATATGCAGCATAGACCACAAAAATCTCTAGACGGCTCAAGTGAACAAACTGAAAAAATTAAAACAGTAATTTTGGCCCCTGAAGCATTTTAATAATTGATGTTGTTATATCACAATACAAAGACATGTATGCATAATTCAACTGTATAGATATTTACGAAAACACATATAAAGACAAAACAGTATGGCCTGCTTGTATATTCAACAGTTTAAATGACATACAATGACATTATTATTCAAGTACATTTACATTATGTGAATGAAAATAAAGTGCAATAGAATCAGAAACACATCTTGTATTTTGTGGTCCCCTTATAACCAAGCATTATTCCATTCAGCCTCTTCTGGGTGTATGTGTGTGTTTGTTCACCTAGAGAGACAAGCTAAAAAATAAAACCTTTCTCTGGTCTCCCATTTGCGTGCATTTCTTATGTTTGGAGAAGAATGACACTTCATTTAAATTATAATATCATCTCACTGCATTGCGAAGCAAAACTGATTTTCTGCAGATTTTTTGTATTTTTTTTTAATCATCCAAGTAATAATATATGCATGATATATTAGCACTCAATATATAAAAAAATAAATAAATAAATGTATAATTTCAGCAAAGACACCTGGTGCTGTATTTTTATTGAACTGTCATGAGGTGTAGGAATGTTTTTTGGGGGAATGTGCCTGTTTGGTGGTCTTTTTGAGACTCAAGATGATCCCATTTGAGCCAATGTGGATGTAGCAGCATGGCTGAGGTTGTATTTATGTAAATTAAGTGGTGGAAAGCAATTTTAGCACTTCTTTTTAACTGCTCCACAACCTCTTTTTGCAAAGTCAAGTGCAAAAGAACATTGTTTGTATCTTTGGATGGTGAAGAGGCTCTTCAAAATCACAAACTCCTTTGTTGAGTTTTGCCTCTTCTAAAGTAGATTTAAGACATTCTATTTTTTAAAGGACCAGTGTGTTGGATTTAGTGGCATCTGGTGGTGTAGTTACAGATTAAACCCTCCTCGCAAAAGCACAATGATTCTTGTTTTCAGGTGATTACACACTAATGAAAACATACCTATGAATATTACATTCCATTTATGCCAAGATCCTCCTAAATGTCACACACTGGACCTTTAAATACTTATCAAAACACACATTTAAATGGGATAAAGGCAGAGTTAATATTGGGTTAAACCAAAATTAGCATCCACGACTGCTGGGTCTACACACTGTATGAGGTCCTTCTCTTTTAGTTGATTAAGTACCTGTAGTTATCATACAGCAGCAGGAATGATAGGTGTGTTTCTCTACTCTACTCTACTCTACTACTAATTTATGGGGTGTGCAGAGTTTAATTATGCACAAATCAAACAGCATGCATATCTTAATTAATTAAATAAATCATCCAATATGGCACCAGACTCCAGCAAATTAACCACACAACTTGCTTTTTTACACACCTTTTATACACACCATACCGGAAAGATATTCAGCCTATTCTGAAGATGTACTCCTATGGATATGTACTAAACTCCATCAGATTATTAGAGGGAAATTATTTTAGGAAGCATTATAAATGGTTTGTATCTGATTTTAGAAAACCAAAGCTATTAATTATCATATCATTATCTAACAGAACTTTTCTTGATTCTTCCCCTGAAGATGTGAACACAGAATGAGTCGAACCTCGTTTTTTTTTCAGCACTAGATGTATCAGCAAGTATCATTAGCAAAGTTTTTTGTCCATGTATTACCTCCCAGTTTGGATACAGTATATGGTCACAGTGGGGTGTGGAATTTCATGGCACAATTTTGGGTGGAAATCAGATTTTTCACACACATAGCTCACCTTGACGAGAGGTCTTGAAGCTGAAGGACTGGAAGCCCCCAGTGAGGGCGGAGGAGTCGATGACATCAACACCGTACTCACTCTGGCTTCTTCGGTAAAGAGTGACAGCGATGATCAGAAGCACCACTGTCACAACCCCCGCAGCGAGGCCCGAATACAAGGCCACATCACTGCTGTTCTCCACACCTTGGAAAGTAAGAGTGAGTAAGAGAGAGAAGCATATTTTTGAGCAATGTTTTGCTTTTGCTTTCTAAGTGTACTGCGCTTAATTAGGAAGCTAGGAGACATTTTCTCCCAGAATAAACTGGTGAACTGTGTTGCACAGGAACATCAGCTGAGTTAAAGTTGTAAAAGTCTTTCATAGGAGGCAAGTCTACCTTGGTTTCAAACTACTTTAGCGCCTTTTTTGTTTTCTGTTCCTCGTCTGCCTTGCTTCCTGATGCACAGCTTCATTGTTCCATCCTGGAGTGTTAAAGCTACTAATGAGGAACCTCGGAAGGAAGGCGATTATAATCAACCCAGCACCTGACTGTCATTTCAAACACTGCTTGGCTCTGGTGTTGGAGGCACTCTGCGTTCCACTGGGATAATGTGACAAAACCAATTCATTAAATTAGCTCATCGGCAATGATTATGCTCTATCTGGTCCCACCAGTACTGCAGCGTCCAACTCCACAAAGACATAGAATGTGTGGGAAATAAAGGGGCTGCTAGCTTATTCTTAAACGATAATGAGATCTGCACTGAAACAGGACATGCTGAGAAATCTTCTAAGTAGCCTGAAGCTCAAATGAGGAGAAATTGACAAAATATGCAAAGCGGCATTAACAGCTACAGTAGCAGGTTAATTGAGGGCTTAGGAAGTTTTGGCAGCCTGGATGCATTTTTTTTCTTCCCATTTCTGACAAACAAAAAAACACAACTGTGTTAAAGGACAAGTAAGGAGAACATCTGCCTGTGGCTTAATAGGTATCAAATTGTTTTTTTCACTGCACACACTACACAATAGCAATCAACACATAAATGTCCCATTACACTAGACTACGATAACGCATAAAGCTATGGATATACAGCGATAAACCATTGGCTACATGGCTTGAAATGCTATACCTAGCTACCCAGGTAAAACTGAGGTAATAATGGTAAAGTTGGGAACATACATAACTGTCATTACAACTTTACTTACAAATGGTATTTGGCTTTAATTACTGCTAGCCTTTTAACAAGTGACATGATCCAACATACAGTATGTTATAGTACAAGAATGAAAATGGATGGAGAAAACGCAGTAACCATTCAAATCTTGTGCTTCAGCTGCAGTTAGAGAACTACCAGTCAGCAATGTCTACTAATCACACCAAAAATAATGTTTTTAACAGAAATCTATTTATTTTCCCCATCTGCTAAAATTCACCCAAGCAATGAACTGAAAAATCACTTGTATTTTCCACTTATTATTCATACATGTTACCTATCTGTCAGAACATCTGTGTCTGAAATAACTCTCGCCTCTATTTTAAGTAAGTATGGGAGAATTCACAACGAGTCAAGCAGAGTGTGTTAGTTTACATAAACACACCTGTCAGACATTTTTTCCCTTTTGTACCACATGCTTTCCAGCCATCACAATATATGTGTTGTTTCCTATTTTAGGGCATTCCACTCTTTTAGGGTAACATTACTTACTTGTTAGGCTGAATCACATATCAGACATAGTTCTCTGACTTACTGCCGGTTCAACATGCTGAATCAACCGCTGCTGATGGTTCTCAATAAAAACACTGTTTTGTCAGTATCCCCGCTCCTCAAACATGGACTTAAGTTTGCATCTCCAACGAATAGCAGAAGTGTAGCCTAGCAACAGCCGAAGCAAGCAGAATAAGTTATAATGGTGACGATCACACTAAACAAGAGCAGCGAGGCTATCTGGAAACAAAGAGCACCCACCAGCCAATTAATTGTCAATCATTGTCTGGTGATTATTGTGCACTTTTCTCCGATCAGAATCAGGTTTTCTTCCAGGCTATGGTTGTAGATCTCCATGGATGTGATTGTTTTTAAAATAATAAGCAGTGGAAGCTGAGGAGAAACTCACCCTGTGGCTTAGCATCATGTAGCAACTTTCGATCTGCAAAGACAGAGAAACATCAGGATTTGAGAGTTTCTCCTTAACCTTTTTGAAAACTACCAGTCTTAGTTTATTTGATTACTACTTGTGTATGCATCCATGTCTGCGCACACTGTGTGTTACGTTCATAGAGTGGAATGGATGACTAATGAAGATGGATGAGGGTCTTGGTAATGAGCATGATTATAATGACGATCATGATCTAGCCCACACTGCCAAAAATGATGAACAGTAAATCTATAATGACACAGTCCCTGAACACAATGGGACTGACAGTAATGATGCTAAACTATCTTTTTTTTTAGTTAACCAGTGGAGAGAGATGGTGATGTTACCCACTCTGTGTGCAGAGGCCGCCAGTGCAGTTGTCTGTGGCCAGCGCCACCCCGTCACAGAGCCGTCCTCCATGTTTGGGCTCCGGAGCCGTACACTCTCTGCTGCGCTGCCTCTCGCAGTCTGAACTACACACCGACCAGTCGCTCCACTCCCCCCAGCTGCCATCCACTGAGGGAGTCAGATACAAATACAAACGCTTAAGAAAAACAAGGATGCACATACACAGATTTGATGTGGTTGGAGTACACATGCAAACCCGCTTCTACAAGTAAAGCACAGAAGAATAAATATACGGATAAATACAGAAAAAGAACCAACTGACACAAAAAAGTTAACTTTCCTCGTAAAAGATTCAAACATCAAGCCTAAGTTGATTCGGTTAAATGTTCTCTAGGACTTTGTGAGAAACCTGTTTCAGAGTAAAAGCTGCACTACTATCTATACAAAAACATTTTCCTCCTCATGGTGCCAAAATGTTGTGCTGTCTTGCTGACTTGGAGCACAAATACACTCTTATGCCACACTCCATCAAGTCTCCTTTCCACCTCCAAAGTTCCCTTCTTCCTGCTAATCTAAACGCAAATGCACCGCGTTTATGTTCAAACTCCGATGCGGTAGAAAGAATCCTTCAGAAGGAGACAGTTGGCAAAGAGGAGATAATGTTTGGAGGAATGCACTGCCTTCCCCAGATAATTTTGTTTTTCTTAAACCTGATGAGCATTTTCTTTTATACTGGTGCTGTGGTTGAAATCATAAATTTGGTCTTGTCTAGAAAAAACACTTGGGCAGAGCAGATTACACAGAGGTTTTGATAACTGGAACTGCAGCTCTGCTCTTCCTCTCACAACCTAAGCTTCTGTTTATTTCTCTCGCTCACTCAGGTTTCTTTCTTTTTTCACCCCTCTCTCCTTTTCCCATTAATATTCCCCTCATTTGCTGTTTTGTAAGGCCCGCTGTATTAGATTTCAGATACAAACCACTGTCACTATCAGCAGTGGGGACATGCAATGCATTCGCAGTGAAATGTAACTGGATAAAAGGACACTACCGCTAACTACAAAGCTTTTAGACTGATTTCCTTTCTTCCACACTGACACAGTTCTCTGTTAATTTCAGGTACTAAAATCAACTTACAGAGACTTTAAACTAAGTAGTAATCAATCACAGAGACCATACTGTTGCCTTAACTTTTAGTCAGATTTACTATCATTGTGCGTTAATGCATTTGTAAGCAGAGAGAAACCTTCACACTGATGCATTCAAGGACTTGTTGACAGCAGTGTTTTTAAAGGAATAGTTTAACATTTTGGGAAATATACTTTGCATTCTTGCCAAGAGTTCGTCGGTTAAATATAAAGCTCTGACCAGCAGACAGTTAGCTTAGCTTAGCATAAAGACTGGAAGCAGGGGGATACAGCGACTCTGGCTCTGTCCAAAGGTTAAAAAGTAATAAAATAAAATAAGATAAATATCCACCGCCAGTACCTCTAAAGCTCACTAATTAACACATTATTTCTAGTTTGTTCATGTGTACAAAGGCTGAAGTGTAAAAACAACAATTTGTGGTTTTATGTGCTGCACTGCTACTTAGTCAGGCGTAGTAATGATGCTGACAAGACTCCAGAGAGTCCAAGAAATAGTTCTAGCACGTATCTTCTCGTAAAACTACAAATAATGTTTTTTTATATTTTGCTTTTTGTACAAAAGGGTTCAATTGTCATTGTACAATACAGGATTTCACAGTGATATGCAGTTACAGCCTCCTCCATGCTACACAAAGAGAAATATATATAAACAAGTCAAATATTTTAAATTGGAATATAATAAAATGATGTAATTGGCAATAAAATAATAGTACCAATTAATAACGCAAACCAATGTATATATACATATATGTATATAGACCTGTACACACAAAAAATATGTAAAATATGTGAAATGTCACTGTATATGAAAGTTACAGTGCAAAGACTTACTACTACTTACTACTTAGATAGTAGTGGGAATGCATGAATGAATGAGTGCAAAGGGAACAGAAGAAAACATATGGGTGAGATATGGTCTTGATGACTGTTACTTTTGCACAGAGCCAGACAAGCTGTTTCCACCTGCTCCCAGTCTTAATGCAAAGCTAAGCTAACTGCCTGCTGGCTATGGCTTTACAATAGAATCAACTTTACTGTCACACATACAGTCGCACACAGTACAACGTATAGTTTCATCTTCTGCATTTAACACATCCTAAGTACTATGAGTAGTGGGCAACCACTGTACAGCGCCAGGGGACCAACTCCAGATCTAATCATTTATATTGGGCAGATATATAAGAGTGGTATTAATCCTCTCATGTAACTCTTGGTAAGAAAGCAAATGAGCATTTCCCCCCAAAATGTTGCACTGTTCCTTTAGTGCAAGAACTATTTCACTATATAGCTCATGAAGGCTTTCAAACACCTAAATCTCAAATCTCAGGGTTTCCTTGCATGCATCGCTGGAGTAGATTTTAAGATTTTCATGACTTGAACAGAACTATTAACTGGAACCTGCGAGGTGGGAGGACAGTTCCAAAAACTCTGCATGGTTTTAAGCATATGCACAAACAATAACAGCATGGAGACTCCGTATGCTCACCTGGACACAGCGTGTTGCAGGTGCTCTTCTGCACTGACATGCCCTCGCAGAAGGCTCCCCCATTGAGAGGAGCTGGATTTGTGCAAGTGCGAGAACGTTTCTGCACACCGCGACCACAGCGTACATTACAGGGAGACCAGTCTGTCCATGACGACCAGCCTCCATTCACTGTGTGTGCCACAGGACAAAGGAAAAAAGATGAATGGATAATATAAGAAAGAAAATATCCTACATTCTGTGGTAACAGTATATTTTCTGTCACAAAAAAAGCAGGGGTTCACTCAAAGGTGACAATGAATGTCTTATCAGGAAAAAGAAAACTGAGGTGTCTTTACAAAGATGATCAATGGTGTCTTCCCTTCAGTCTACTCAAGACTTCTTCTGATTTGTTGCTTAAAATAATGCGGGATGATTGACTAATCAGCTCATTTGCCGTCATAGCGCAGGAAGAAATACTATGTTCCGCTATTGTACATCTGTCTGAGCCTATCCGTAGAGTGAGCCTGTCAGAGACTTCATTAGCATTAAGGAAATTAATTATTGATGGGCCTCAACAATGGGATGTCAGAAGGAATTAGATGAATTCCTACAGCCGCTAAATGTCCTCCCTGAAAAAATAAAAATAACAGTATGAAAGGTCAGTAAAATGAGCACTGAAACAATCCAATTAACAAGGTGTTCCTCTGGTGTGAAAGGAGGTGGTGCTAGTATGACATTATAATTTCACTTATTCTCCTTTGTCTCTGCAGAGCTCTCTACGGGCTATAAAATGCTGGAAACTGTGTCTGCTGGCCTGCGGGCTATAGAAAGCGTTCCACACAAGGTGTTTAGTGCTGGCAGATAAAAGCCGGGGAGTTGTGACCCACGTCACTGCCTTTCCACTATTAATAATTGAGTTCTTGTAAATATTGTGCCTGTGTCTCCTTGTTTTTACACATGAGGGATCACTTGCCCATTACCTGCTCATTAGACTCTTGTGTGAAAAAGACCACACGCTGTGGTTGAGCAGTGCTTTTTATATTAATGACTTTGGGGAATTAGCTTATGGCGCCAATTTGACAGCCTACTTCTGTAGTGAAAATTGATATTTTGATGCCGACAAGAAAGCTGTTTGACATTGTTTTCCTCATCTGTACTGCAACCTTAAAAAAAATCTGCCGCCACGCCTTTTTGGCTGAGACAGACTCTAAACTTAGACACATTTTCTTTTGAAAAATAACAAAAAAGGACATCTATAATTTGATATCTTACCGTAGACTACAACAGTGGCTGTGGCACTACGTCTCTTGGCCACAATGTTGCTGGCAACGCAGGTATAGTTTCCGGAATCAGAGAGGCGGGCTTCGGAGATGATGAGATTATGGTCGCCTCTTGTATCAATGACACCTTCTGAGCTGAGAGGCTCTTCATTTTTCAGCCATTCCATCTGAAAACAGCAGAGCACATGAGTAACATAAGCACTGTTGTTTACCCTGAAACTTTTTTGTGTGATTCCACAGCCCTTTCAAATGAGCTCAAGGATGCCTTTATCTGCACCACTCAAAGTGTTCTGATAAATGGTAAATATAAAGTGGATGTTATTTAACACTATTAAGGACATCAAAGTGGATATTGTTACAATATCTTTTCATAAACAACATACAAACATTTAACTATCCATTGCTTTTAGATGACTATTTCAACTGTTTATCCAGCACTCACATCTGCAACATGCTTCAAGTCCTAAGACCAAGAAACAAGAACACATCACACCATTTCCCAGGACTCTCCACTAGCTTCTAGTGTGTCAGAGAATATAGTTTCATGAACTGCTGCATGTCTATGAACCTCTCATTATTTTGTACCAAAATATTTTAGGCTACCATATTGAACCCTCACCTGAACATGAAGAAGCTGCACTTACAGTAGTTACCTGCACCAACTTTACAATCTTTGGTGTTCTGCACTGCTTCTGACTGAACAAAATATTCCCAATAATGCCATTGCACCCTGTATTTATGTCTCTCTTCCTCATAAAAAAGGTTTATTCTTTTAATCTGCATTTAAGTGTTTTTCTTTCTTTTCTGTTTTTATTGCATTATGTAAAGCACTTTGAATTGCCTTTGTGAATGAAATGTGCTATACAAAAAAAACTTGGTTATTGCCTTGGAATAACATTTAGGAAGGTGTTACATATTAAATGGTGTTAAATGAAAGCATCATGCACAGTAGTAATGTAAGATTATCTGATAAGAACAGGTATGTTGTGCTTATGTTTGTTTTCTATTTACAATACAGATGTATTTATACCATACAAAAAATGAGAGGGCTGTATCCAGTACATGGAGACATCTGTATGCGGTTGCTTTGATACACCAGTCATTAAAGACGTGATCTGAGGAAAGTGTGTGATATAATTCCTTAATGTTAAAGAAGAAACCACCACTACCGCAGAAGGTGTTTTTCATTAATTTATCTGGTATCTTACTACATTTATTCAGACAAGTGAGAGGACACATGCAGATAGCAAGATTAGAGGTTTGTGGGAAAGGTACAACATCCGGTCGGTGGGAGTGACGCAGTGGGTAGGAAAAATCTTCTATCGTTACCAATTCAGGGGCCGTGTAGTGAGTGAAAATAATAAGGAACTACAAAATAAAGGACGCACTGTTGATGCTCCTCTCCTCGCATGACTGACCCTGTAAATTGCTATTAATGTGCCACTGGCTTGAGCTTTTCATTGAGAGAGACGAGCTGGGGCATGAGGGAGTGGGGCTTGATTTATGGCAGTGTATTTGAGGATTAAAAACTCCACCCCACTGGGAGCTCCATGTGTTTGTGCATGCAGTTGTACTCTAGTGTGTTTGTGTGTGTGTTTGTAGAGAGTGTCCATTTGCCAAGGGAATATAACAACAGCCAACAAACTCAGAGATTGCTTTGCTCTTTCGAAGCACCCTGGATGAAAAAATTGAGCTGGGAAATCAGGAGTCATGTTGTCACAAATGTTTCTTTTTTTTCTCCTTTTGATGGCCCGAGAAGTCTTTCATCATGTGCCTTTAATTTAACTTTTTTCATCATTTGGCTCCACAGCTTTCAAGACAACCCAACCAACCACACTGGTGGGCCACATCGGTCATTCTATCAATCCTTGTCTTTATATTTTTGCCTTTCACTATTTCATACCTTCAATGTCTAATCAACCCCTGTGTTGCCGTCCATGCTGTATTACATTCTCCACAGCTGCTACCATTAATCTACTCAGCTGTGGAAGCAGTCAGTTTCAACCTTCCATGGTGGAAACAATTTGCAAATTTAATCATAGAAAATGTACCCTTGTGGTTTCATCATGGCCATTATTATTTTACTTGAATGTTTTTAAAGGATCATTTGTGCAATCACATTCCTATCTATCTATCTATCTATCATCATCTATCGATCTAGTCATCTATCAATCTATTCTATCTATCTCATCTATCTTACATCTACTCTAGTCTAGCTACTATCATCTATCTATCTATCTATCAGCTGCACAGTTTTTCTTCCTCTAATTGTATACTTTCTCTAATCGACTGCGGCTCTATGTAGTATTTGGGAAGTAGGAAATTAACCTTGACAAGTAGGAAGTTTGTTCTTCACCTTCTGTGCAAATATTGCAGCCTCTTTCACAAAAGGATGACAGAGGTGAGCTCTGCTGTTTTCACCAGGGTCACATGATACATTTTCTGTGTATTGTCTGCAGCGTTCGAAAAGATTTTCCCTCAAAGGCATCTCTAATGTCAGACTAAACATTTCTAAACCCAAAAGCACAACTCTGAGACTTCATAACAGGCGAAACTCAGGCAGATAGAGAAAATGGCTGGACTTATAAGAGAGAAACACAAAATAAGATCTGGGGGGAATGAATAAATGACCTGATATAATTATATAGTTAAGATATAATATTGCTATATATAATCTACGCTGATGGGAAAGTAGAGAGTGTCACATGGGGTGGGGGAGTTCAGGTGATGGGAATGGGGAACAAGGGGTATTGCAGGCAAGGTGGGATGGCAGGCCGAAATGCACAGAGTAGCATGGCAGAGAAAAAAAACAGACCAGGAAAATATACTAGAATGGCCTTGACATTGTCACAGACGAAACCTTTAAAGCTGTCTATATGAACCAGCAGCGACTATTTTGAACACTGACTGAAGGTAATTTGTTAAATACAACACAGATTACATTAGGGAAGATTCACACGCAGCTCCATCCTTATACTGCTTTTATAATATTCACTCTCGATAAAAACAGCTATTTTACTAACTGCGGTGTGCTCTGATTGAAAGAGTCACATTAATCAAAACTGAGAAGCACTGGTCACCTCCTATTCCGCGCATTCCTATTGAGAAATATCATATCAAATACTTTAATTAACACTTCAATTTACAACTTCAAACTACAGAAACCCCCCCCCAAAAAAAAAAAAAATAAAAATAAATAATAAAAAATAAAAAAATAAATAGAGAACATATCCTGCAGGCTGCAGATGGCTAGACAAGTTGATGAAAAAGCATAATTGGGTAACACAACTGAATTGAAAATTAAACCCTCCACCCTTTTGTTCGCTCCCGACATCATTCAATGGGACCATATTAAGAGAGTAGCCAAATGAACTTGACAGCCACCGCAGATTTAAACATTAGTTGTTAAAAAATATATTTCAAACATTTAGGTAATATCCCACCTTCTGGAAAGACCGAGTAAAACTAAAATGCATCCTTAAAGCAAACTATTCCAGAGACCGAGCCACCACTGATATATAGAACATATTTTTTCATTGACAAACAATTTTAAAGAGCAAGAAAAACTGATGACGAGAAATGCAACTACCGTCTATTGCAGAATATTTTCATTAAATCGTTAGACAAAGAATCTTTTAGACTCATTTACAATGTAAACAAAGACGTTTGAAGTGGGTGCAGAGAGTATACTGCCAGCAAAACCATAAAGATGCCACACGATAACAATACCAAACCACAGTACAATAAGAATGATCTTATTCCTTCAAGAAGTATCTGGCAAAAATTAAATAATATAGTTTATATATAAATGACATAATGATATGGGGTAGGGTTTGTCCATGACCTGGCGGAATGCACATAAATATATAAAGAACAGCATTGAAATGCCATCAAATTCCAACCCTAAATTAGGTCAATGAAATGAACCCCTTGCTTTTTTTAAAGCGTGGGGTTGATCAAACTTTCACACTTTTAGACTGAAACACTGGGGACAATGTGAGAGAGGGGGGGATGAAACAAGGAAGTAGTGAGACATTGACCCAGGTCCCCGATTGACCTTGCCAAAGGGACACTTGAACACCCTTTACTCCCATCAGTGTCCTTACATAGATTCCTTATCCTATACATGAACGACTTAACTGAATAAGGCGACCATAAAAAAGGTATTTTATCGCAACCCCAGGAAGTACAATATCTTAACATATAACGTTATATGTAAGATGTTAAAGTGCCTATCTGCTCGTACGTCTCTAAAGTCAATCTGTACAAGCCTGCCCTCCCTGCGAAAGGTAAACCTGGCTCAAGCAACGGATACTATATGACAATGCCATTGGCGCACCCCATATAATATATTTCATATAATACCGGCGCAGCAACCATGCTAATAAGTAAAACTTTCATTTATATCTTCACACTCTGAACACAACAACTGTTATATATGGTAAAAGACAGATTGCTTTGGCACCAAAACACTGACTTGTGATAATGAGGAAATGAACAGGTCCAACCAATATCATTTTCATTATTAACTAACTGTCCAATAAATTTTCTCCAACTTATAAATTAGTTTTGGTACATAAAATATCAAGAAAAGAAGCCCAAGGTACACCTTAAATATCTTTTTGTCCACAACACCAAAGATATCAGTTAGCGTCACAGAGGGATTAAAGAAACCAAGAAACAATCACATTTGAGTCGCTAAAAATCAAGAATTGATCGTTGCGCTCAACACCCACAACAACCACACAACATTATCATAATATGTGCGATTTCATATAACAGTAACAACACCTTTAACGACATAAGGGCAGCTCTAGAAACGCAGGAGAAACAATAAATAGGGTCCTTGGATCAATCCATAATATGGTACCCAAATCGCCTTGAAAGGGGTCAGATTGACACCAATCTCAACTAAAACACCTTCCTCAACAAAAAATAAACGTTAACATTACTCACATTTCCAAAAAATGTGTGCCACCACCATTAATGACAACCCAAGTCTGGCACGCACGTACGTCACATGCCACTCGCCACTCCATTCATGAGGATTCAAAGGAGGAAGGAGGGAAGAAAAAAGAAGGGGGAGTTTGGCAGACTCATCCCAACTGCCGGGTGTTTTTAACATGTTAATGAACAAGTCCATTACTCAAGGACATGTTGTAGTACT